CATTATGCGTCATGCACCTGTAAAACGTGAATCAAGTACCAAATCTGACAGTACAAAGATATCAAATATCATGCACCGCACATCATAACACATCATACGATGACATATCATCACGATATCATGATGATATCATTGGATCATAGTCAAAGAAAGGCTGCACTCCGCACCTTGCCCGCGTCGATGCCCTTCTCGGGCACTGCCATGTCCACCTACACATGCACAGCATCTTCACAGAAAAATGGAAAGGGCAAAAACGCCACAAAATCTAAGATGATCAGAGATTGGTTTGCGGTGGCATGCTGAATAATAGGCAAATAAGCCTCATGCAAATGATGAATACAATTGCTGTGGCAGGTTATGCAGCATAATGCAGGGATTCCAAAGAAATGATGAGGCAAGACTAAAACACATTGTCATGTACGATTTTGAAGGAGAACACCAGCTGCGACAACTGAAGCAGTTCCCATGCCCGAACATGTGATGCCAAAGTGCAAAAACTGCCTGAAGGGGCGGAAGGTGCTTGATCTTCTTCTTGCGGAGCCTGTGTCTGACTTGAGGACGGGGTGAAACGAAAGGTATAGAGGAAAGGTGAAAGAAGGTGGAGTGAAATCGATGCATGTCCGCAAGGGGAAGTGCCATGGCGAGGTATAATCAGACGGACGCGGTGGGCATGAGAAACAGTGAGATGTGATGACGTATGATGAGACATGATGAGATGTCATGAGATGTGATGAGATGTGATGAGATCTGATGAGATGAGACGTGATCAAGAAATTGTGAGTCGTGGTGCAATGTGATGAGATAAAATGAGATGTGGTCGGGTATTATAAGACAGAAATACAACATGCAGCTATATTCTAAATAAATATATGCATGATTCTATATAAATATATATATATATGTAACATGTAAGTGTGTAAAGAGACTGAAGATATAGATAGGTCTGATGAGATGACGTTGAGATATTATCGGGGACCGGCTGTTTCACACTGTGGGGGAGCTGACCGGAGATTCCCTTTCAAGGGGTACCCCCGCAGAGCCAAGGTGTCTCTTTGACAAAGTTGTTTTGGTGGGTCTGAATTATAAAAATGGCTTTTCCTGAGCTGGTGGTGCCAAAAACATCAAGGAAAACAATAGGCAAATAATAGAAAGAAAATTACTTTACTTCGAGTGATCCCCACCATGACATTTCAAAACAGCTTGTTGACAGCACTTTTGTCTGAAGCTTTTGTCACGGGACTTTTGCCCAACTAACTATCCCAATCATTTGTTTCACCTGGCAGGTCATTGTACAGATCTGCCATATAGAATGCCAGACGATATGCCAGATAGAATGCCAGATAGAATGTCAGAAAAGATGTCAGATAGAATGTCAGAAAGAATGCCAGAAGATATGCCAGAAGATATGCCAGATAGAATGCCAGATAGAATGTCAGAAAAGATGTCAGATAGAATGTCAGAAGATATGTCAGATAGAATGCCAGAAGATATGCCAGATAGAATGCCAGAAGATATGTCAGAATATATGCCAGAAGATATGCCAGATAGAATGCCAGATAGAATGCCAGAAGATTTGCCAGATAGATATGCCAGATAGAATGCCAGAAGATCTGCCATATAGAATGCCAGAAGATATGCCAGATAGAATGCCAGAAGATTTGCCAGATAGAATGCCAGAAGATATGTCAGGGAACAGTTGGCATGGATACTCGCGGTTGAGGTCCGGCAGGGAACACTGGGCGCGGATGGTCGTGGTTGAGGTCCGGCAGGGAACACTGGGCGCGGATGGTCGTGGTTGAGGTCCGGCAGGGAACACTGGGCGCGGATGGTCGTGGTTGAGGTCCGGCAGGGAACACTGGGCGTGGATGGTCGTGGTTGAGGTCCGGCAGGGAACACTGGGCGTGGGTGGTCGTGGTTGAGGTCCGGCAGAGAACACTGTGGATCGCGGGTCGCAGTTGAGCAAGGACGACGAGGACGACGAGGACAAGGACGACAAGGATGACAAGGAGGACGAGGAGGAGGAGGAGAGGAGGACGAGGCAGGAGGAGGCGGAGGAGGAGGAGGAGCAGGAGGAGGAGGAGGAGGCAACTGACATAAAATCTAACAACCCTCACCTGGCAGGTGGGGAATAAAAACTATAAAGTTCAAGAATAACACTTTGTGGAAAGAAATCAAAACCCAATTGAAGTTTTACATAGAAAATTGATCCTGAACAAATCTGTAAGGGGGCACCCCAGCAGAGTCAGAGATTCTATCTAATAAACTTGTTTTGGTCGATCTGAATTGTGAAAACTATATATATATATATATTTGAATTGAAGTGGAAAAGTTGTTTTCAATTAGGATCGTTTAAGTTCAATACAACACGGTTTATTCACGTCCGCAAAACATCAAATATTTTTGATGTTCAATGAGGATCATTCAAGATCGATACAACCCTTTGGATCGACATCCGCAAAAAAAAACACAAAGTATATTTGATTTTCAATTAGGATCATTCAAAATCAATACATAATCTTGGAGGGGGGTTCCCCCAGGTCACTGTGTTTAAAAATGTTGCTTTATTCAGGCCCCATCGATTGTTTAGGGGAGGGGGGGACAATAGCCAGGCGCCAACATTATCCATCTAGGGCTCTGCTGCACTGAGAAGCATTGAGAAGGACCAGAATCCGTTGAAATACAGGGTCTTGCGCACCTGCACAGCGTTCCAAATCGAGCACGTTTTTTGCCGCCAGCCTAGCCGGATGCAAGCATTCAAAACATGGAGGGCTGTTTGGGACACCAGGTCAACATGGAACTTGAGGCCGGGGGTGGATGACGAAAGCTAGCGGGGTAGGAGAAAGAAGGAAGGTAAGAGGTGAGTTGCGGAGGGACTGTCATCATCGTGTCGCGGCATTGTTCGTCCCAACGAGGATGCAACAATGATATATGAATGATGTTGATGACGATGACGATGACGATGACGAGGACGATGATGATGATGATGATGATGATGACGAGGACGATGGCGAGGACGATGACGATGATGATGACGATGATGGTGACGATGATGATGATGGTGGTGGTGGTGGCGATGATGATGATGATGATGATGATGGTGGTGGTGGTGGTGGTGGTGGTGGGGGCCCTTTCACGTGAAAAATCACGTGATGTCCTTGAGCAGCCCCCCCCAATACTTGCTAAAGCAAGAAGACTCCAGCTAGCTGACGCTAGCTTTCGTGAAAACACGGAAAAACATGCAGAAACATGGGGCAACAGAATGGGGAAACGGCTGTCACAAGGCCTCCGCCTCTGCCGTCTCCGTTACATTCCCGCCTTTGTCTCCTTGGATCTCATCTCCGATGAGTCGAGAGGTTCATGGAAATCAGTGCAGTGCAACGCGCCGAATATTCCCTTCACACATCTTTGCAACCCTTCGATTCATTTCGATTCATTGTTTTTTATCCTTTTGAATCCTTTCATATCTTTGATCTTAAAACCGCCTTTTTCCAGTCACCCTTGCCGTAGCCACCCGGGGACCATGGCACAGTAATCACAGTGACCTTGGGGACCAACTCAGCTTGGCCCCAGCTCAGCTCTCAACTGTGACCAACTCGAGTTCCACAGGTTTAGTCACTTTAGTCATCCGAATCCTCTCCTGCCACCCCGAATCGGCATTAATCATTAATCTGCCACATGCCGAAACTGGCTGAATTGCAAATAGGGAGCCCCATCTTCAGAACAGAAGAAGTTGAAGCGTTGTTGAGGGTGTTTGGGCGTTCCGAGAAATGCAATCAGGACATATCACGTCTAGCAACATCTAGAAATCAAAAACGGCATTTGTGGCAAGATGTTCAGACACGTGATGCTTGTTCTTCAGAGGCGATGGCAAAATGGCAAAACCGCCTGAGTCAAAAATACCTGGGGTGAAAAAAGCTCAATCATAACTCCCAGCATCTCCCAGCTAGTCGTGCTAGTTATGCCAGCTCATCGGTTGAGGCTCTGTCGCAGGTCCGGCTGGCATGAACGCGGTGCTGATCTCCGTGATCTGATCACCAGGTCGAAAGGTTATTTCAACGAATTGGGTGATGAAGTCATGATGACAGCAATGATGTCCATGACCAGTTTCAACATGTTTCAATGTTGACTTTGCGGAACGCTCCGCAGCGCCTTGAGATCTGCATCTGGAGCATGTCAGTACACCAGATTCTCCTGAGTTTACCCAAATCTTATGAACATCTCTGCCGTTCATGCTGTATCCACATTGGTTACAGTAAGTGACATGAATCAATACCAAGTGTGGAAACTGATTGGATCTAATGATTGCAAATTCATCAGCCATAAATCCCACCCGGTGCGGAGCTGTAGTCGTCACTGAGCCCGCTGGCGGCATGAAGCTGCACGGATCGACCAAAGTCAACATGCATGGTGTTGTCAACGATGAAGGGATGAAAATGACTTGGGTTATGCGTTAGTAAAGCGTGTTTGAACATCGTCAAACTCATGAGATGGTTGACTCGGTTTGCTCGCGCTTATCTCATTATCACATTATCACCGAACTTCTTTCAATGAACTTCTTTCATTCGTTTTCATTCGTTTCAGTCATTTCATCTGTTTCATTCATTGCATTCATGTCAGTCGTTTCTTTCATTGCATTCATTCATTTCATTCGCCGGGCTTGGTTTCTGGCCCGCCGGCCGGCCGGCCGACCGGCTGGCTGCCACGCTGGCTGGCTGGCTGGCTGGCTGTCGCTTGGCTTCAGCTGGCGCCACGGTGGCTAGCTGGTTCTTGGTTTGTGGCGTCCGGCCAGCCGGCCAGCTGGGGCTTGGTTTGTGGCCGGCCGGCCGGCTTTGTTTGTGGCCGGCCGGCCGGCCAGCTGGTGCTTGGTTTTTGGCCCGCCGGCCGGCCGGCCGGCCGGCTGGCTGGCTGGGTGTGAAATAGCGGGCCGCACTAAGCTCGCAATCCAACATTATATATACACACACCTAAACCTGACCAAATTTCTGGGTCGTACTCTACGTTTAACCCATCCCCACACGGATACACCGGGAGTATCCGAGGAACGCCACAGCGGTGCTGATGGTGGCGCAGACGGCATGACGTTGTTCCAAGGGCGCCTTTTGTGCCACCGCCACCTGCTGTCTACCGGCGCCAGCTGGGTTACAGTAGTGTACCTATAGATCTCACTATGGTGTTATGGGGATATCAACCTGTGGTAGATCTATTATAACTATAATAATCTATAAAATAAAATAATATATATATATATATATCACCTATAGATAAACCTATGGTAGACAGATAATAGTTCTTGAACATGCTTATGGTATACCGTATACCTATTTTATGGACACCACCTTGTACCTCTCTCTCTCCTCTCTCTGGTTATGACATTTTTTTTCAGCTGCGCGAAGACATGCGATGCTGCTGTTTGATTGAAAACAGTTATGTCTGTCATGTAGTACAAGTCTATGATCTTCTCAAAAATGACGACATAAATAAATGAATGAATAAAAACATATATCTGTATATATCACAGACCACGGATCGAAGATATTTTGTCCTGCTGTAATATGGATTTCTGGAGAGAGATGGTCTGGTTCCATGGGCTGGTTCGATCTATGCCATGGTCCCAAGGTGACCAAACCATGGTGGTTCTACAACCTTCAGGTGAGGCTATACATACCAGGGGGTTCTCAATGTCCCCGGAGTATCCCGGAGTGGAGATTTAAAACATCCCCTTACATTTCCCAGCCGCCATGGCCCATCAAAGTAGAATATTATATATATATATATATATTAATATATCATGTATATATATAATTATTTATATATATATATAATTATATATATTGTAATTTTCGAAAGCAAACTCTAAAATGACCACGAAACCTTTGTTTATTGCGAGTTTCTTTTTTTCCCACTCAAACCCTCGTTGAAAGCTTGTAGTTCGGCTGCGACTCAGATCACCTTGGAGTTGTTCGCGAAGATCAACCACATGGCCAAAGCAATGAAACCTGCACCCTGCACGATCTGCGCAATGTTGTGAGGATCTTCCAGATCAACCTGCAGCTTCATGGTCGAAAACAGCATGGTGCCCTCTGGTCATCAGAAAAAGAATCCCCTTAGTTCGAAAACGTCCCAGTAAAAGCGTCATTTCTAGGGGATCTTCAATTGCCGTGTTTGATTACCAAAGGGTAAACCGAGCTAAACACCATAAACCAACAGAGGTTTTGTGCGTTTGTGCCATAGTCAAGACATTGTGTATATATATATATATAATAATGATGTATATGGGTTATTGTCATCCCACTATGAAATTGGAAATCCTGATATTGGCCATCATACTTCCGATGGATAGTGGTATGACCATCCACCATCGACCATTCCAGAAATCCATGCACTTCATAACCTTATCTGCAAACCTAATTTTAGAAGTGATAATAATAATATTTATATATATATATACGTACATATATATATATATACACATATATATATATACATATATAATATTATATAATGTTATTAGTTTTGACAAGGGGGTCACCATCGTCAACTTGTGGGCATGAGTTTTTTTTTTTCCCGCAGCTCATGGACGATCCCAAAGTTTTTCCCTCGTTCCCAAGGACGCCTTACCCTCAGGGCAATCTTGGACTGTTTGCAAGCGCCGCAAATTGCCAAGGACATCCTCAGCCGAAAAAAATCTTGCTACCTTGGTTACCTTGACCCTGAGCCACAGAAATTCCCACAGAAATTGGGGTAAGATGTCAATCTTAATGGCTTGAAGTGGATATTTTGAAGAGCTAATTGTAGCTAATTGTGGCCTCCCACAACCCATGTAGATATGGATCCACAGGATCAAGTGAAGTTTCACATCATGCTGAAGCTATCCGTTGACAGAATAGACCACAGTACATTCCCAGCTTCACAATACATTAAATATCACTTGATCACACTTACCTCTGCAAAGTGCAGTTGGTCTTCATCCATGATCATCCATGCCTACAGCAAATTTGACGATTTGCAAACCCCTTAACCATAGTATCACACGCTTGCACCTATGCGCCAACGATCATGTGTATTGATTCAATACCTGAGATGCAATAAACCAAGTGTCTTGGATGGTTGACAATGCATCTGCAAGCTGGCCCTCAATGACGTTGTTGTTGCTGACCGCCATCACTGGAAAACTTCAAGCTGTGCGAGAATGTCGGAGGATTGGCACACACTCAAAGGGGGCGAGGTTTAGTGGTCGAGCCCAAAAAGCACTGCGGACATGACGTGGCACTCTGAAAAACCATGCCATACCACATCCACATACCAATTCTATCTCAGTGCAGGACTAACCTAGTCTGGGCCTTTCTTGGCAGCTCGAAGGTACAACATTCTGCCCAGAAACTTCGGGATGTTGCAGCTTTCGATTGGGGTCAACGAGCATAAAGACATCTTCAACATCAGCCAAATGGATGTGGGTCCAAATTGGGTACTCCAATAATTAGTTGGTTTATATCAATCATCTAAAATCTGTGGTCTTATAGAAGGGCTTACCTTTTGCCCCATACCCAATATTACCCAAAGATAGCAGGCAAATACAGTTTCTGCCACCTTTCCATCAATTTCCATCAGTCAAGACACCCAAGGCCCGGAGCACCCCGTGGCTCCCGTCAGCATCCAGGAAGGCATTGGGATGGCAGGAATGCGGCACTTTCGAGCAGGTCACAAACCTTAGATTCCGAAGGCCACCTCTCAGGGTGGAGGTATAATCTATTGGTCAAACAAGTCTGAGCTGTGCACTACATGAAAACTGGTTCCTGGTTTCAACCCATTCCGAAAGAATATGAGAGTCAATTTAGTCAATTTGGATATATATTTGGATAAATTACATATTCCTCTGGAAAAATATGGGATGTTTCATTCACAAAGAGCACTCGCGAACTTTCTGCTGGATCATCACAGCACACCCTGCAACCGAAGGAACAAAGCGACCATCTTTGGCTCTCGGCTGCACACCCGAGCATTGGAGGCTAGGATGGACTGCAAGGGGTTCCTGCGAGCAGGAATGCAGGTGCTACTGGTGCCCGTCAATAGCAGCAACAGCACATGGGGAACTGGGATGAGTATCTATATGGATCAAACATTTTCTGCAGGTGTAACATATAGTATTTTCTCCATCTTGTGGATTGAATGATTGAATCTCCATGTTGCCTTGACATCCCCATTTTTCCTGTCAACAAATATGCAGCAATTGGTTCCGAAAGGCCAGCCAAAAATCCAAAAAAGGGCTGAGCCTGGTTTCACCGGTAAAGCGATTGCCCTTCAACTGCAACACCTGCGGTGCTACGGCGGTCCATGGTGGCATTTGAGTTGGAACCCCTAAAAAAACCTCGAGTTCCTTGGCTAAAAGCAATTCAAAATGTATCTGAATATATCTATATAATTCTATATAAATATATCTGGAATCTTCCATGTTTGGCGGATACCAAACACAAGTCTTAATTTCTAATATTAAAATTTACAATCCGGGAATGGCTTCGATTCACTCAATATCCCCAACATTTACACAACCATGGCGGACATGCTGATTTGGGACCTGGATTAAACTCCCTCCCCAAGGTACTGTTGTAGGCGACACCCCCAATATGTAGATGCTCATTGCAACATCATATTGACTGAAATCAAGTGTTTCCAATTTGATGGTTTATCAGGCTATCATGATTTTCCCGTATCAAATGGCTATGTGAGGGTATACCCAATTTTCAGACCATCCCACATATCGACTTCCATCCAAATTTTATGTGGATTATTCCCCAATTGACACACACGCAATATGACACACAATATGACACACCCCCAACATAGTTGACACCACAACCACTACCTAGATGTTGCCAGAATTATCCATTTGTTGGTAGTAATGGGTGATTGCACCCCTCAAAAACTGGATAATTATACCCCAGAAAATCTAACCACGAATCACTAATTCTGGCACCATCTAAGATCATCTAAGTGGGATGTGGGGGACTTTAGCGTAGTTAGACGGGTTTCAATCCGATATGTTCAATGCCACGATGACCTCCTGGTATCGCGCATGGCCCTCCAGCTGACGAGCCATCTGCTCGCAGGCATTGGGGCCAGCAGCCGCGCGGCAGGCGGAACTTTCGAACAGCAATGCGGTGCCAGCCTTCACCTCTCAAAGAACATGGCTGTCGCCCCAAGTCCAAAGGTGCCAAAGGTGAATCAATCCGATTAAAATAACATAGTTTCCTGATTTTGCGTCCAATACTGGGGGAAAAACCTTGGGTGTGAGTGTGAATGGTGGCTTTATATGGCAAAATATGATAGATTTAAGGGTATACCGTATTTTCAGTCACTCCCATTCATTGCCTTGTGAAGAAGGTTTAGTGGCATAGCGGCATATCATAAATCAGTTCAATAGGTTCAACTAGTCAAATTTCAACGGATGGTATATAAGTATACTGGTTGCCAATTGAATGGTTAAATTGTTATCATGGCAATAGTGAGTTGATAGGTAATTTGCTGGGTTGATAGGTAAATTGATGGATCTGCTGCATGGGGAGGTTCACTATCCGTATGGATTAGTAAACATCCATTGGTTGGTTTGTAAACAAGGTTTAATTACATTTAATTACTTGGATTATTGGTGGAATAGATTATTGAATCAATGCATGGTATATAATTGTAGGAATTTGTTGGTTGAAGTCATCCTAGCGATGGGCAACAGATTCCAGGTCATGTTTCACGACTCGTGTCCCTTGTTCTATTGTGGGAAGCCCAAAAATGGGCTTCCGATGGTCTGCTAACTTACTCATACCCTCTGGTAATTTAACATAGCTATGGAAAATCACCATTTTTAATGGGAAAACTCACTATAAATGGCCGTTTTCAATACCTATGTTAGTTTACCAGAGGTAACCCTTTCTTGCCAAATCATATGGCTAAGATCACCCCCACATGTGCACATGATTCCAGGTCTCCAAAATTTCACCCGATGTTGGCCAGATCGGAGTACCCCAGGGTAAACGCCGCGTTTGTTTCTTCAATCCATGTTTTTTTTTCGTGACAAGTCACCAATGTTCTTCGGTATATCGGTATATCCCCAGTCTATTTGTGACTAAATCGTACTAAATCCTCACTGTTGGGTGGGTATGTACCCCATTTTGGTTGGCATATCACTCAAAACATCACATGGCATACACCCTAGGGGGTTCTTGAAATAGATCCCCAAGTCACCATGGGATTCGATACTGAGTCATGGTCATCCATGACTTCGATGATTTGCAGTACCCCCATGTCACAGGAAATCTCCATATTGCATTGGTGTAAGGGAATATCTACAAATGTCCAACTAATCACCAAGTAAAATCTAATTATCCAACTAAGCACTAAGCACCATATATGGGTATGGGTCAAAATTAAAGACTTGGGGACTATCGATTTTAATCAGTTCATTTTTAGTATTAACAATCAACTTATTGGGGTATCCAATTTTGATCCATACCCATATAAACCCATATACATATATATATATATATATCTACATACATAATATATATATATATATATATATATTAATATATATATATATACGTACATACATAATATATATATATATATATGTCTACATACATAATATATATATATATAATATACATACATAATTACATAATATATATATATAAATATATATGGTTTGGTTTATTGTACTCCCCCATCTCCCATGCAGCTCAAATCACATCCTTGGCCGTGCGGAAAGCGTCGATTTCTTCCAGCTGGCCATCCATGATCTCCCAGTGGCCGCTGCTGAAGCGCCTGGACCACTGGGAGTTGGAGGAGAAAATGATGGTTCATAGTGGTTTGTAATGGTTTAATAATGGTTAGTAATGGTTAATAATGGTGTAATAATGGTTAGTAATGGTTAAGTATTATTTTGCCGATTCTGAAACATGATGAAGCACTTACCCATAACTACTAGGGGACCGAACTTCTATTTAAAATGACTATAAAAAGATATAACAACAATGGTTAATAATGGCCACTGATGGCTAACGGGCATTTAAATGGAAAAAAACATTGAACTAAATGGGGAGGGTTCGATTGTCATGTTTGAATATCAAATGGCACCCTGGTACTTACCAGAAAAACACAGTAAAAACTGAGATGGTTAATTGACCAACATTGTGATTCAACTAACAGAACTATTCTGGATTTACATATACAGTATGAATTTATTCAAGGAACAAATGACAGAACATCATAGTGAGATTACGGCCAGGAGTCTCCATTTGCCTGGAATGCAATGTATCACGCCTTGACGGAGGGCCAAAACAGTGGTATCTCCAGTACACAATGACTGTTTCAACATGTCTTGACATGGTATTGGGCGTGATCGAAAAAGGCTTTGTGGCAAAGCGATTTGAGAGTGCTGTAAGGGTTTTCGGAAACTTGCTTTGCAAAATCCCTTTTTCGCCCTTTCTACGCAATCTCCCTTTCCTCCACATAGAACAATGGATGACACGCTCATGTTTATATGCGTCCTGCAATCACTGCAACAGTTTATATAATGGGGGTGGTGAATTTTGATTCCTTGTTATGTTCAATCAGTGTAATAGTTTAGGGGTGGGGGATTTAATCCCTTATTGAAGATCGTCAATCAATGTAAGAATTGAACTGATTGAAGATCTTCAAACAATGTACTAGTTTAATGGGTGGGGGATGCGATCCCTTATTGAAGATCTTCAATCAGTGTAATCATTCAACATCTGGATTCAGTTGGGACTTTAAGTTGGGACAGTTTAGGGCTTGGGCAAACGGCGGCCTGAGCCTAAGACTACCACCAAATATAGGGGAATCCTGGTTAAGAAAAAAACTGAAACCAGTTTTGGGACTTAGGAATCAATGAGAATTGGCATGTTAGTGTAATACTGATGATGATGATGCTCTTGTTGATGGGATAGCCGGAAGAATATAGGGCTTTACTAAGATGAAGTAGATCCAGTAGACCAACCGTCATCGATGCTGTAGACATGTGGGGGCTTTGTTGCCATAATGGTGAAAAACATGAAAAACATCCCGAATCCCAATGGCTCTACCAATGGTTCCACTGGTTGAGGTTGGGGTTCCCCCCTCATATCTATTCTACATAATGGGATATGCACAAGAATTGGTAGCTTGTTATTGGATACTTGGGATGATTTATAGCGACCAAATGGCTTATACTTGGGGATGGTATATTCTTGTGGATCCCGGATGAATTCCATCTAATTCCATGAATTCAAATTCCAATTGATCCATTACTTAGATGTTGCCAGAATTTGCCACTTCTGGTTTAGATTTTCTGTGGTATATCCTGATATGTCCCACTCTTTTGAGGGATGAAATCACCCACTTGCGCCATTCTGACAACATCAGGCAGTAATCCCAAAAGAATCCATATAATCTAATATAACATATCTCATTGAAGAGCCCTGGGATACTCCTAAATGTTGCTATCCTTGCAAAAAAAAAACTGAAAAAAAACACAAAAAAAACAAAAACATATCAAAAAACAACCGGAAAAAAACAATCCACTCTTTCCAAAACGAATTCAAAAAAAAAACGCAAAAAAAACAGTAAAACAAAGTAACAAATTCCACAAAAAAATAACAAAAAACTAAAATATTCAAAACAGTTCAGAACAATCAAAAAAAAATGAAATAAAAAAACGAACAAAAAATAACAAAATAAACATTCAAAAAAGTTCAAACAAAAATCAGAAAAATCAACAAACAATCAAAATAAAATTCAAAAACAAATCAAAAAATAATTTACTGTAAAAAAAAACAACAAAAACAAAACAAAAAAAACAACATAAACAAAAAATCAAACAATGAACAAAGTATTTAAAAAAAAAACAAAAGAACAAACAAAAAGAAAACTACAAAAAAAACAAAAACAAATCGAACAATAAAATAAAACAACAAATCTTGAAATCATCATTTTTTTTACCTTAAAAAACGAATCTTGGAATGTAAATAACTATTTGGAATGAAATTGCATTATTTGGAATGAAATTGAAATAAGTCTAATTAAAATTAATAAAAAGGAATGTTCCAGGAGTGTCCCTATGAGGAATGTCCCCCTCCATAGAGAAGAATATCTAAGTCACCTTTTTTAGATGTGGAAGATCCACCATACAGACCATTTGATCATTTCGTCCGCGTGAAAGCGATGGATTTCCGTCGCCTCTTCCATTCCGCCACAAGCTGCCGCTCTGCCCCGCGCTGCAACGACGCCACATAGTCCAACGGAGCGCCTGGCCATTTTCAGGACAATTGACTGGGCTGTAACACAAGAAAGCATCTTCCCCCCGCAAAAATAAATGTAAATTGAAGCTGTTGTTTTTTTTTGGTGTTACAACAACCAAATATTATGATCAAACGTGGCAAGTTGATGTTATCCTGTGTGCATCTGGTGAAGCTAAGTGTGGTTCTTAGCCAGTCACTACTCATGAACCGGAGGCTCTCCAGTGTTGTGGGGGATGGCTTCAATGTTTGAAATGGGTCAGTTCACCCCCGGATCCCTGTACTCACATCCAAAAGACGCCCCCAGAATGGCCTATATCTTGGAATAAGTTCTTTAAACTTGGTATTTGGTTTTGACACATGAATGGTTACGTCACATTACATCCCCACGTTTGCTGGATCGATCATGCCATGACCCTGTAAAGCCATGTCAACTTCCAGCACATCAAGTGTGGTAGCTTGTGTATATACAACACTATACAACTCTATACACATGTAAATATATTATATTATATATACAGTATTATGTATTATTTAAATGATTTTATATGTATATATGGTGACATACTTTTCAACTATGGCTCCGTGTGGGTACCCAGTTCCCTCCTGTCGGGAAACCTGGCACTGCGGCCCGCTGCCGTCGCGCACAGCAGCGGCCCGTTTGTGCGGCCCAGTGCCATAGCTCCATGATGCTCCATGCGGAGCTGCGCCAGGGATATGTCAAGTTATGGGGATAAATCCAGGAATCCAGGATAAGACATGAGATAGTTATACCCATATAATTCCAATATATATATATGGCATCTTATGATTAGTTAATCAGTGTTTGAGCACTTGTCAGAATCAACTAGTTATAACTGTGCACATAGTTGAAGAAATGAATGTATGGTCACGTCTCAGTTCTCGCTAAATGTTGAAACAAATGAGCTGGATAGACAGCATCTCTGAACCAAGCACCAGCAAGCTTTCCATCCATCGATTTTCCTTGGGCTCCGACAACAGCTTGAGCCACCAATGATTGTACCATTTCTTGGATTTTCTTGGCATGAATGAAGAGCCATTGATTTCTCAGGTTTGTCCAACATGCACAAACATGGTGTATGCCCCAAATCCATTGGTCAATTCGTCATATTCCAGCCATTCAATTCCAAGTTGATACAAATTTATGGAACATGTTCAAACACGCTGGTATTTCAAACCAACCAGGTCTGCTGGTCCATCCTCTCCATGACCACTGAGTATCAGCCAAACTGATCTCTAGGAAAGACTCCAAGCGTAGAACCAGCACTGCAGTGTCAAAGGGGAAACAAAACAGGTCATTCAAGATGTCATTTCGACCTTGACTTCGATCGTTGTGGCACATTTTGTTGGAAAACAACTGTATTGTTTACCCTTTCAAGGGCAAAAAATTGAAAGCAACCGCTCCTTTCTTTTTAGACGCACCAGTGTTGGTACTTTACATTCTATGTTCATCGGTGGAACCATGTCAACCTATTTTCCAGTCTGAGTTGCATCATGTTTGATCCCCTTTGTGTGGAAAAAAACAAATCCATTGAAAACTGTGTCAATCCTATTGTTGTTTGTGGTCATCCATGGCTGGGAATCCTAAAAAAGCGGGTAACCACAAACCCAATGGATTCATGACCATCCTCTAAGGACTGGGTGCATCCAATTTCTGATAGCTGGTTGTACCATCATATTAACCACATATCCCCATGAATTCTCCGTTGAATCCCTATGTTCAATGGTAGATTCCAAGTTGACATAACTTGACCATAGCACATCTGGTGACGCTTTCTATCATGATCCCCATCCCCCGGGAGCTCGTGCGGTAAGAGATCCACCCGGCTGGAGAGCAGTTGCCCAACTTTCCTGGGAATCTCTTTTTGCTCTGCGATGAAACTCGATCGAAATGGATGAGTTGACCTATTTCTTCTTGGATATTCAAGTCTGAGGTATTCAGCATGGATTTTTTGGAGGTTCTCAAAAGATCTTGTCGTGGTACTTGTCATGAGTGGAAGGTGGAGCAGTTCTGAAACAATGTAAAACATGGTTCCAATCTCCTTGTACGAACAAAACAAGTTTGAAGGAAAAGGCAGGGGCCAATCCAAATGAGAATTTAGGAGTGAGGGGTATGGGCCAAAGAATAGTGTAAAGCAGTGGTAGTGATCATTTCAAGTAGCCAATCATACGGCAGAGGTACCCAACTCAAACCAAATCTCTGGTGGTCCACGTGGCCAACAGGAGTTGACCTTCAAACAAGAATTGTTGTACACGGCTTAGACATATATTCACAAGTAAAAAACATCTAATTCATCACACATATTCAAAAATCATTTCCATCAGCTCTTTTATTCTTAACTTGCTGGGGCTTACACTCTAATCTAATCATGACATCCATGGTCATGTTTTGGATACATGACACATCATGACACCATACACCACCCCTCCCAACTTTTTTTGAACGCAAAGAAAACCATCTGCGGGTTTCCATAAATGGGGGTACCCCATTTATCATCCACTTTAATTGGATTTTCCCTTATAAACCATCCAGCTATTGGGGTACCCCCATTTATGGAAACCCCCATCTGCGTCCAAGCCTCACAAAGCTGGGCCCCAGGTCCACCAAACCATGTCTCAGCTCCGCTGCCAGCCGTGCATCTTCTGGGCGCCTCCAGGGTTCCGCCAGGAGCCACGCGCCGCAACGCCGCAGGATCTGCCAGACACGTCCCAGCACGGCGCCAACATCCGAGCCGCAGGCCTTTGAGGGGTCCAACATGGTCCAAAAAATGGTACGGTTTTCCTTGTTTTACATGTTTTTTCAAGTAATTCAACGTGATGGCCACATGATTTTATTCAATCATATACTGCAAGGGTGCTTTCAGCACAACTGATACGGGGTGAAAATGGGTGGAGAAAAAGTGAAATTACTTTGTGTTGTTTTCTATATATATATTATATTATATATAATATATATTATATATATATATATATTATATTATATATATATATTATATTATATTATATATATATATTATATTATATTATATATATATTATATTATATATATATATATCACTTTTAGTTAGTTGGTTGGTCAAAACTTGTTCAAACCCTGATAACTGGATAATATTAGAGTGGAATGATTAATTGGATGTATACTTACATAACTTACATATTATTCATATGTTTACTGTAGATTGTTTAGTATTACACCTAATTACAGTAATGTTATTTACTGTTTCGTAAACGGTGAAGAGCTGCTGAATTTGGGATGTAATTCTGAAGGTCTACTTCCAGGATTGTAAGCAGTGGCTCCCCCTTGAGATGGGGAAAGTCACGAAGATGATATAGGAAGACAATTACTGGTTGGTGGTCTACCTACCCCTCTGAAAAATATGAAAGTCAGTTGGGATGATTATTCCCAATATATGGAAAAAAACATGTTCCAAACCACCAACCAGATGAATATGGATGTTCTTTCTTTTCTCTGCACTTTAATGAGATGACATGTTCCGAATAGGCTCCTATGATCATGATCTACTATGTATCGTATGCAGAAAACCCCAACAGCCCACCTTCCCAGCCCCTGCCTCTGCGACCTTCTCCGCCGAGTACGGCGATGGCAGCTGCACCGCCCGTGCCGACGTTCCACGTCGGCCCCGGCGCCCGCTGACCACGCTGACCACGGTGACCGCGGTGACCAGCGTGACGCCGTGCGCGGCACCCGCGCGCTGCGGCTCCACAGGGCTGGGGTGGGGTGGAAGGATGGATGGTCTGCAGCGCCAGGTGTGGGACAGGAGCATTGCACCATGGCTCCGCTGAAAGCTGTTCTTTTGGAGGAAGCTGTGCTGCTGAAGCTTCTGAAGTTTAGTTGGGGGCTGCTGGCATGAAGGAAACACCAATCTTGGGGTTCTAGTTGTATAAAAGTTGAGGTCATGATATGTGTGGTAATGAATAATAAGCCCACCAGCAATCGCATGAAATGAGAAAGCACAATTGCAATGGCATCTGCCTATCTAAGCAAAATGGTGATGTCAGATGCTTCCCAAGAAGCGTGGAACTGAACCAAGGACCATTGGACCATTGTGATGTAATGTGACGCAGAGTTTTGTCATTCAGCCCTTGGAGCCTTGGACCTCGAATATTCACAAATCCAACATCTTGCAAAGGGTCTGCAATCAGAAGCATGGGGAAACCCATCTTTCCGAATTTGAACAATCTTTGGACTATCATATCTCACACACAATAAGGTCACTACAAATTATAAATTATCTAAAAGGACTCTACAGTTGCCTTCCGGCCAGGTCTTGGACAGCCCGATGGAAGACAGCTGCCAAAGCTCAGGCCGATTGGAATCAGTGGCTTTCACATTGATATGTTCAGCCTGCACAATCTCAAGAAGTAGTATAATGATTATAATGTAGTGTACACATTTGCGTCATAGTCACACAATTCCAACAGTTTTTTAGCATACCAGGCAGCCTGGATTCGTGCTCAGGATATCTTTGATCCCACGCTCCATTAAGATCTGCGGGTCACCCGCCAGCTTTGAAATCCAAGGACAACAAGACGATTTGTCATATACTTTGCCAAATGGCACAATGTTTCAGGCAAGCCAAAATCAGGTACTGTACCACAATGATAACATAATATGTTGAATGGTGTCTCTAGTAACATAAGGTTCACATACCCCATGTCCAAAAAATATTGCACCCCACGCCCCGCAAATCAAATCACGCTTGACCTCCAACAGTAAAGATCACAGCTTTCAAGGCTGGCCACTGCTCTGGGTACTATCTTGGGGGCTCAGCCAGCCGAGGCAGTGCTGAGAAGACCTGGCGATCAACTGATGCAGCTGGGAGCCGGGTCATGCCTGGAACTACTCCTTCATCCAGTTTCATCTAGGGAAAATATGGGAAATTCATGGAAAATCACGTTCAAAAGCACGTTTTTGGGTTTCCGGAATCCAGAATAGTTTTGCGGAGGGTGTGTCAAATCTTTAGGCCCTACCCCCTAAAAAAAAATATTCTGTTGGTGCCATTTTGAGCTGGTGGGACTCCCAGCAAAATGAAGTGTTAGACAATCGGTAAGACTCTACAGAATGATACAGAATGCTGTTTTGGAGAAGCAGATTGTCCGGCTTTTGAATAGTTTTACCGTATGCTAAAGCCTTTTTATGTGCCGCGCTAAAGCACAATAGCAACGACGCACCAACATTGGAATGACATGTGGTCAGAGCCAACAACAAGTTGTGCCACAAAACATCAAACATTAGTATATATACATATATATTTATATATGATATATATATATATATATATCATATATATATATATCATATATATATATCATATATATATATATATATATCATATATATATATATATATATATCATATATATCATATATATATATATCATATATATATATCATATATCATATATATATATATATATCATATATATATATCATATATATATCATATCATATATATATATATATGTCATATATATATAATCATATATATATATGTCATATATATATAATCATATATATATATATATATCATATATATATATATCATATATATATTTATGGTAATATATATATATATATGATATATATATATATATATGATATATATATATGACCATTGGTTATATATATATAATTATATAACATCAGTTATCAAAATATCATATTAGTTATATATTAATACCCATGACGGATCCATGGTGCTGCTATATGGTGTGCCATGGATCCTACAGCAGTCATCATTGATTCCATCGGATCATCGGATCCAGGTGAATCCCGAAGGCGGGAAGGCGGGACAACACACAGCTATACCCTCTGGTTATGACTCACATAGCTATACCATATATGGAAAATCCATGAAAATCCCTCATAAATGGAGCTTTCTAGCTGGGAACATCATCTATTTCGATTAGGGCCATTTTCCATAGCTATGTTAGTCATAACCAGAGGGTATACGTAATATGCATGTTAATTGGCCATGGGTCAATCATGGGATCAAACCCACGCAGCCGGATGTTGTCGTTTTTTTCACACCGTAGCCAAGGCGCCAGCATTCAATGAAGACGATTCCCTCGCGGCATCCCGAAATGTCGTCAGGGTTTCAACTGGCGTAACGAACTGCTTGGATAAAAACCAGCCAAGTCGAAATGGCCGAACATGAACCAAATCTTTGGCCAAGCGCTTTCCAAATGGGTCAACCGATGATCTTTCACCGGCGAAACCCTGCAGGCATCACCGATGGCTTATGGCGACCGATCTCGGTTGCGCCACCAGCTCCAAGATTTGGTCCGGTGGCGCACATTGCCTTCCAGTCGCCACGGGGGGGAAGGGGGTCAAACTCTACTTTGCAAAACTTGGAAAAAAAATTTCTCCAGCATCAGTTGTGCCTCAAGCAAAGTAAGTATCTAAACTTGTCTGCATGATTCGTAAATATTCGTAACGACACGTCCAAATGGCAGTACCTAAATGATCCTTTCCTTCTCGATCCATGCACTACATGCAAAGCTCAGCAAAAGGACTTCCAGACTCACCGTGGCACCTTCTTCAGTCTCCACTCTGAGATCTCGACTCAGCAGATCAAATGCTCCTACCAGTGCTTGGGGCTGTCAAGGGATGCCAAAGGTGCAATTTCCATCCTCAACATGTGACATGTGTGCATGCTCATGTGGGCTGCTGCGGCGAAGGACCGTGAATTATGTTTCAACCATCAAGCATCGACATATCTATTCTATGAACATAGACAATGCTTCAAAATTGAACAGGTCTCTCAGTTTTCTCAGTGGGTTTCTCAGCCTTTGCCATATCCAATCATATCCAATCCCATGTTTGAGCCCCCTCCTGGTGTCAGGCAGAATCCGAACTGGACTCGGTCAGGGGACCCCAAATCTCCAACAGGAAGTCGTTGATCTGCTGGAATTCGCCAGCACAAAGTTGTTGCCTCCAGGGGGCTGAACAACACGATGTAATACTCAATTATTTGTATGTAAATGCATTTACATATTATCAATATATTAATACCATATCTATTGTCGTTCCTATATATATATACATATTCATATAAGTATATACATATACACATATTCATATATATATATATACACATACATACGTACGTACGTACATACATTACATTACATTACATTACATTACATTACATTACATACATTACATACATTACATACATTACATACATTACATACATTACATACATTACATACATTACATACATTACATACATTACATACATTACATACATTACATACAATACATACATTACATACATTACATACATTACATACATTACATACATTACATACATTACATACATTACATACATTACATACATTACATACATTACATACATTACATACATTACATACATTACATACATTACAAACATTACATACATTACATACATTACAAACATTACATACATTACATACATTACATACATTACATACATTACATACATTACATACATTACATACATTACATAAATTACATACATTACATACATTACATACATTACATACATTACATACATTACATACATTACATACATTACATACATTACAGACATTACAGACATTACAGACATTACAGACATTACAGACATTACAGACATTACATACATTACATACATTACATACATTACATACATTACATACATTACATACATTACATACATTACATACATTACATACATTAATACATACATTACATTAATACATTACATTACATTACATTGCATTGCATTGCATTACATATACATTACATTACATTACATTACATTACATACATACATACATACACACACACATACACACACACACACATACATACATACATACATACATACATACATACATACATACATACATACATACATACATACATACATACATACATTACACATATACACATATACATACATACATACATACATTGTGTCTTGCCTAACCTCTGTAACAGTGGCACGAAGTAGGGCACCATTTGGTGCACGAGGAAAATCGCAAAAAAGCACGATTTGGTGCACGAAGAAAACCAGAAAAAAGCACGATTTGGTGCACGAAGAAAAGTAAAAAAAAAACACGGTTTGGTGCACCAGGAAAGCACAAAAAAAGCACGATTTGGTGCACGAAGAAAACCACAGAAAAAAGCACGACTTGGTGCACGAAGAAAACCGCAAAAAAGCACGATTTGGTGCACGAAGAAAACGACAAAAAAGCTCGAACTAGAGCACAATTTGGTGTATGAAGCATAATCATCAAAAAGAAAAGCATGAACTGGGGCACCATTTGGTGCACGAAGAAAACCACAAAAAACACGATTTGGTGCACGAAGAAAACCACAAAAAAGCACGATTTGGTGCACGAAGAAAGCTCAAAAAAAGCACGATTTGGTGCACGAAGAAAACCAGAAAAAAGCACGATTTGGTGCACGAAGAAAACCACAAAAAAGCACGATTCGGTGCACGAAGAAAACCGTGAAAAAAAACGTATTTTTTTGGTGCTCCATTTGAAGCATGTTTAGTAAGAAATTGTTTTAACGACTGTTACAGAGGTTAGGCAAGACACAATACATACATACCTACCTACCTACCTACCTACCTACCTACCTACATACATACATACATTACATACATTACATACATTACATACATTACATGCATTACATGCATTACATGCATTACATGCATTACATGCATTACATACATTACATACATTACATACATACATTACATACATACATACATACATACATACATACATACATACATACATACATACATACATACATTACATACATACATACATACATTACATTACATTACATTACATTACATACATACATACATACATTACATTACATTACATTACCTTACATTACCTTACATACATACATACATAACCTACCTACCTACCTACCTACATACATACATACATTAATTACATACATTACATACATTACATACATTACATACATTACATACATTACATACATTACATACAGTACATACATTACATACATTACATACATTACATACATTACATACATTACATGCATTACATACATACCTGCATACGTACATACGTACATACGTACATACGTACATACGTACATACGTACATACGTACATACGTACATACGTACATACGTACATACATACATTACATACATACATACATACATACATACATACATACATTACATACATTACATACATTACATACATTACATACATTACATGCATTACATGCATTACATGCATTACATGCATTACATGCATTACATACATTACATACATTACATACATTACATACATACATTACATTACATTACATTACATTACATTACGTTACATTACATTACATTACATTACATACATACATTACATACATACATTATATTAAATACATACATACATACATACATACACACATACATACATACGTACGTACGTACGTACATACAGACAGACAGACAGACAGACAGACAGACACACAGACAGACAGACAGACAGAAAGACAGACAGACAGACAGACCTACCTACCTACATACAGACATACATACCTACCTACATACAAACAGACAGACAAACCTACCTACCTACCTACCTACCTACATACATACAGACATACCTACCTACATGCATACAGACAGACATACATACCTACCTACATACATACAGACATACATACCTACCTACCTACATACATACAGACAAACAGACAGACATACCTACCTACCTACCTACCTACATACAGACATACCTACCTACATACAGACAGACCGACAGACAGACATACATACCTACCTACATACAGACATACATACCTACCTACCTACATACATACATATATATATATATATGGTGGTTTCATAAAATGGGGTTACGACTAAATCATCCATTTTAGTTCGATTTTCCATTATAAACCAACCATTTTGGTGTACCACCATTTATGGAAACCCCGATATGAAATAGATATGACGTGTATATATATATATATATAGTGGCATGGCATCTAGCTACAACAAGCCTTTTTGTTGTGTTGCAAAAAATGAACTGTGGTGTCTGGTGTCCACATGTACTTTTGAGCCGATCTTGGGGCTAGATTTTTGTTGTGAGTGTGCAAGAGTTGGCTTCTTTTTCAAACCGTCAAGCACTTGAAATATCAAGCTCTCTAGCCTTCACCCGCCACTCCCAGGTGGATGTTTGAAGGCAAATCTGGTTGGTGGTTTCAAGCCCTCTGAAAAATATTAATCAGATTGGATCATTATCCCAACTATTGGATACTATTGGGGAAAATCAAAAATGTTCCAAACCACCAACCAGAAATACACTCTGCAACCGTCACCGAGCTCCTCCCACCTGCCCCTGGCGCAGGCATGTCCCAAGTTCTCATCCACCAGCCATCGCAGCTGCGCCCCCGCGAGACGACGCTGGTAACTCTCCAGGGCAGTCTCCGGCGGACACATGCGATCCCAACGGCCGTGGTGCGCTAAAACCTGCAGAACCCGTGGCGGTGGCCACTTAAGGGGGGGGTAGCTTCCAAGATGTTCCAAGGGAGTGGTCACGGGTAATTTTCCATTGCCATGTTAGATTGGAGGGTATACTACTCAAATGGATGGGAACGGTTGCAGGGGGAAAATGTTCAGAACATTTCATGGGTTTGACCCAAAACTTGTTAGGGGCTCCATTGTTATAGAAAATCAAAGGTTTGACAGGTCCCTACATCCGAAAGCCCATCCTCACTGGAGGATTAAAAGCTCATGGTTGCCGTATCCCTCACTTTTTGTGGCAACGATAACCTTAAAAACATGAAAGGCTTCCTTACATGCATATCCTTCATCAACATCACCTGAACGTGGGGCTAACCACAATTCACTTACTCAAGTGATACTTCAACACAGACAAAAGGGGAACTGGCCTAATATAGGAAGGCTGAAAGAAATATGCTAATATGATCATGCGCGTTTCTGAATCATTGCCCAAATAATACTAGTGCCATGTAAATTCAAAATATCAAAATACGGGTGACTAATGAATAGTTACCAAACATGATGGTGATAAATCCCAATATATATATATTCTTATATATATATATTGTTGGCGAAACCCAAATTCATGGACAATAGCTACATCAATCACGTACATTAAATAGAACTAAATATAAAACCTCAAACATTTATGTAACATAGAAACGTTCATGATCCATATATATATATATATACACGTATATATATATATATATATATATATATATATGTATAATGCAATATCTCACTATGCTAGTAGGATGTTTATTGATTCCTTTTTTATATCTGTTGGAGGTTGCTATATCTTGCCATATAATCATGGTTTATAACATAACCCATAAGTAGCTGGGTTATACTATGCAATGGCTATAATTAATTAGTATGGTTGCGGTTGGTACGTTTGTGGTTTTTGTATATTGTGGTTAGGTTATACTATGGTTATTCTATGGTTATATGGCTACTATATGGTTCTTAGGCTTAGGATGTTAGCCATGTTGGCTTCCGCTGCCGCTGTCCGGTGCCTTCATTGCGGCCAGCTCCTCCTCCGGCGCGCTCCGGCCGGAGCCCAGGGCCGCCCCCCGCAGCAGGAGCAGGGGCGAGCTCTTGGTGCTGAAGGAGACGGCGGCTTCGACCACCAACGCCACACCCTGCGGTGATGCTGGAGTGATTTTTACTGTGAAAAAAGGGGGAATCTGAAGTGTATTATGAAGGTTCAAAAGAAAAACGTGGAACTTCACGGGGATTTGAATTGGCAACATCCAACAGAAATGATTTAAACAAAATCTCTACATATCTCTACAGAATCTGATTTTATGCAACCCACATTCCCCCTGATTTTATAGAGGACATATTTAGGAGGATGGATTTGATAGGATTTACTGAATAAAAACATTCCGTCCAAATGTGTTTATACTTCGGAATTCAACATGATTCTGGCTGTCAAAATATGGAGAAATTGTCCAAAATATGGGACACACAAATGCTATTTCAAGCAGAATCTTGGCAAGTCACAATGATTCCGAGACCCTTAAACACGCCAATTTTGTGGTTGATTTCCCCTTGTGACCAGAATCTAGGTGAATGAACTGTCCATAACCTTTGATCAGCCTTTGGCTTTGAGAGGTTGGTGATCCGGGGGCATCCGGACAATGGTCAAGGCATGGAAGGCAACTTTTACTTGTGATGGTGATCCCAAGACCTCTGAAATCCTTGTGGTTCATCATTCCTGACATTTCCTGACCAACATGCAGAAGCCCTCAAGAATGTGTTCAATGCCTTGAATCTCTTGGAACTGACTTCTCCGGATTCCAGCCATTGTTCAACTGTGCGTCTTGTGAACAGACAATCTCCACCTGGTCGCATCGAAAAAATTGTACCTCGAAAGGTAAATTGGCTTTGTCATAGGGTGATTACAAATTAATTAAATTTATTTAATACTAATAATTTAATATATAATTTATACCCCAAACTCCAATGGTTCCCGAGGAAAATCGCCAGAGACCTCTGGACATTTTGATCCAGGCCTGCGAAAAGCCGCCCAGCAGTAGACGCTTTGGGTCCTCGCCTCGAGAAACCCACGATGCGCTGACAGCTGGAGAACTGCTAGCGTGAAACAACCCAGTTCAGGTTGGAAGTGTATTTGTGGTGCTATGTGGTGCCCCAGTTCGTTGGCTAAGTTGGTTTAGTTCCGTCATGTTTCACGAGAATGTGTGAATGTGTGTGTATATATTATATAATCATGTATATATATATATACCACTGGTGCTTGATCGTAGTGCAACTCCACGTCTACAAAAAAAAATGTTGTCTTCGGCTTTTTAAATGGTCCATTAGTCGGTATTCAGCTGTACCGTTTGGTGGCACTCGTAGTTTGACCGGCTGGCTGGAGAGCAAATCATCTTAAGGACCACTCAGGTTCGATTCATTTGGATTTCTTTGAACATATGATACCCTCAATTTCTGAATTGTTATGATTAATTCCATGAACATTTCAATTTGTTATATGTGCATATTCCATGCTATCCCATCGCCATTTCATCGGGTTCAACGTCAGATGTCGACAGCTCACCTGGTAGTCTGGCAATTTCTTCCTCCATCAACTGCTGAATCCGTTCAATTTGGTCCGTCAGCTCCTGGGGGTCCTGTGCAACATCGGGGACATCGTTTTGGGGTCAGTGCATGCAAAACCATATCATATAATATGTACCAAAGCGGAACACTGAACATGAAATCTGATATGTATATATATAATATACATTTATATATAAACATATGAATATATGTGTATATAACATTATAACACCATATCAATGAAATGTCAGACACAGAACCTCAGAATGACATTAGGTGCAAAAGTATCCCACCTTCCCTTATCATGTCAACTTAATCATTCAACCATGGAACTTTGGACACATCATGAATGACATCGGTTGCCACACAATTTGGAACCCCACAAATCTGCTTATTTTCATTATTGTTGTTATTACATGTAGTTATTGCACATTGTTACCATTGTGGCTGGTCCAAGGTCAAATTGATGTCAAGTTCAAAAAAGTTGGGTTTTTGCCAGAGGTCCTTTGCACTGTCTCCATCCTCTGCATACTCAAACCACGAGTTCATTTCGCCTCTCCACGAGTGGTGCGCCTCTCTCCGTAAGGGTGCGCACGGCACCACAAATCGGATCTCGTTGCGAAAGGGGACCTTCAAGCGATGGAGGATGGGAGTCCAATCATCTGGACCTCCACTGCAGGAGTGGAGCAGAATCCTTGGCGTTGCTCTTGTGGCCATGCGTGAAAGATGATGAAACATGAGAATTTACCCATGAAACATGAGGGATTTGAATTATCTTTAGCCAGCGAATCATGGGTTTGGGTGTGTGTGAAAATGGACTATACCCTGACATTGCCATCATAAACCAAGGAAATTTGGGGTACGCCATTCACTATCCCAAGACAAACCCTAATGTGTAAAAACATGGTCAACAATGGGAACATGTTTTTGTGCATCATTGACTTCATTATTTCCGTAAAATTGGGCGAAGAAATGTGTTCTGAAGGCAACTGTGGGTAGAAAAATCGGCTGAAGATCGATGCAGGTGGCAAAACTACATAAATATGTTGACAATACTCGAAGCTCTAATTTTACGGCAAGTGTGGCGCCTATGGTTTGCCCGGGACTGGAAATGGTTTTGATGATCACATTGATGATGATGATGATGATGATGATGATGCTGCTGGTGGTGGTGGTGGTGGCGGTGGTGGTGATTGTGATGATGATGGTGATGATGGTGATTATTGTGATGATGATGATGATGATGATGATAATAATGATGATAATGATAATAATGATGAACATAAGGATGATAGTAATGATGATGATGATTGTGGTATGCTTAGAATTGTTCCACGAGGTGGGAAATTATATCGTATATCTTATGTAAACACTAATTGAAACCCCAACACAATTTCATCTCTTTTGTTTGAACTCTGAACAAAATCAATGGTTTTCGCGCTATTCTGTTGGTGGGCAAACCGCTGTATACAGATTTCCTCATCATTTCTGGACTGGAGTCTCTCGAGATCAATTCCGTTGGGATCAGGAGTCAGTGAAGAGTTTTGTGAGCTTACAATTCTTCAACATTTTTCAACCATGCAAAGTAGTTGATAGTTGATGTTGATAGTTGATAGATGATAGATGATGTTGATAGTTGATAGTTGATGATGTTGATGTCAACTTTGGGCATTTTGGGGAAGTCACAAGCTCCAAATATTCACCAGCATGAAAAACCGTTCTGATTGGGATAGCATTTCCAGCCGGTTTACAGCATAGCCGCATAACAAACGCCAAAAACATGCCGAACAGTTGGGAACCTGGAAATTATGGAGAAAACATCATCGAGCAACCGTGCTGATTTGTTTTGAGTCAATATTTTTCATTATGTGTTTGGTTTTAAAAAAACACATGTTCTATCGGAGATTCTATCGTGCATGTTCTGCTGGAGGTACCTGCTTAGGTTTGGCCCCCCGATGACAGCTGGGGGTATTCCCATTCTCTGTGATGCCTAGATATCACTATCATAGCTGAAACATATCCCATATTTACCCAAGTGACTTCTGGGTAAAATATTCCAAACAAGCTATATATACATATGTATATATATATATATGTATATATTTATGTATATATATATATATATGTATATGTGTATATATATATATGTCTATATAGATACGTATATGTATGTATATATATATATATGTATATGTACATACATACGGTAACTACATTTAAATATACAATTTTTTAAATATACGAATAGGTATTTTAGACTACCTCCAGGAAGGTTTTCCTTGGCCCGCCCAGCCATTTAAACATACGGAACCCAATTCATTTAAACATACTGCAACTACGTTTAAATATACGAACTTGCATTTCATACTACCGAGAGCCTCCAAAAGTCCTTAATTAAGGAGATACCTTAATTAAGGTCTCCAGGATTTTCTTCATTAAGGACTTTTGGAGGAACTTCTGGTGACCTTAATTAAGTGATCTGGCTTTTTTGCTGTTTTAGTGGTATAATGGCTAAGTTTGTGCCAAAATTGTCATATGTTTTTTTCTTTGCTGTCCTTTAGAAAGTTTTACTTTGTGCAAAAAAGTAGGCAATAATCTCCTCTTAGGAGATTTTTCCTTTACAGAAACCATGCATCTTCTGAGGAGGCTTTCTTTCCTCTGTGTAGAAATCTTTCTCTCAGGAAATTTTATTTCTATATCCTTGAAGAAACCAAGATGTAGTGAGTACCTGCGAGGGCTCAGGGCATGGGCAAAGAGATGAACAAAAAACAAATGTGTGCTAGTGTCTGCTTGACAAGAATTCCTTTTTTTCTCTTCATGCAACAGGCCACTGTGGAAGTTCGTGTTGAGACATGAATTTGTACAATGTATTTCTGGAAGTTGAAGCAATTGTATTTTCCTCAGATGCGACTGCTCATGTGGCATCAAACCAAAGTAGAATGAAGCAAGGGGAAAAAAAAAACAAGCAAACACCAAATGGCAAACAAGGTTCTCCACCCCTTCTTCTTGAAATAGCAGCCACTGTCCCACCCATATCTTCATCTCTATATGTCCAATTCTGAGAAGGGCAGCACTCATCAAATTCACATAGCTCCTGGAAGAGGTGGTGCTTGGGTTTGAACCTCCAAAACATTCCTTCAGGATCGCTGTCAGAGAGGGAGACATAAAGCAGCAGGAATCTTTGTCCTGCTATAGCTAATTCTTGTGAGTTCCAAAGGTCTCTTGACAGCAGGCTGCAGCAAGCATTCAATTGCAATGTGGCCTGGAAAATGGTGTTTTCAAAAGTGTTGGACTTGCCCAGCAACGCTTCTGCAATTTCCAAGCTCCATGGTATGAGAGACCGGGTTTCTCCAGCAGATGCTCTAAGCTTGGGAGCTGAGACTGTTTGTTTTTTGTCAGTCTTCCTGAGCATTCCCATAGTCAAAGTATCAAGCCTGTTGTCCACTGAACATCTTCTGTAGAAAGATTGCATGGATCTAAAAACAGAGCTCAACCTCTTGTCTTTGCTGGCTCCAGGAAATCTATCAAGGAGGAAATAAATCAAATTTCCAAGAAAATCTTGGGCAACTCCCCGGTCACAAGCATGCAGCCAATCAATAACAAAGCAATCTATCTGCAGGTCTGGTGCAGAGAATAATGCAGATATTTGTTTTCCTTCTGTTATGCAACCAGCAAAATGATCCATGGTCGTTTTTCTCTGGCTCCTCCAAACCGCGGAACTGGTGCAATCCCTGCTGTTTTTTTTTGCTGGCATAGCACCTATAGCAAATGTTGTCTGTGCCAGACCATCCACTGAGGTTGAATGTGTTTTTGTACATTTCCCAGTCTCCTCTAACTTCTGTGAGAAGTGCAGTGCAATTCAAACTTTTGCCTTGGCTCTTTGTTCTCCATGAAGACAGGAATGGGTTACCAGCATGGTCCCTGGGTGGAAAGAATCCAGCTGTCAAAACTTGGAAGGACCAAGCCAAAATTGCGAAAATTGCTTGCATTGTTTTCTCCTTGACCACAAACTTCTTGTTGATCACCTGAGCAAAGCCACTTGGTGGTAGGGAAAGAACTCCTCAAAAGAGCCCCTTTGGATAGCTTCTGGGAGAAAGACAAGGAACCATATATTTGCTGCTAAAAGGCGCACAAGGAAATTCTGAGCCTGGAGAAAATGTCATCAGTTTGGCCACAGAAGCTCATTGTAATAACAATGACAGATTGGCTTCTGTCCCATTTGACAGGGCAACCATCTGTCCACAACCCCACAGGGATGCAGGTGGTGGGATACTTTCCCAACAAAGGCACTGTTTTCTCAAAGTGCTTTCTGGCTGAAGCTGAGAGCCCTGCCCTGTCAAAGACCTTCTGTTTGGAGTGCCGGTTCCAGGACATGATATTTGCCAGGACTTCATGTGGCAGCAACACATTGATAGATTCTTCAACACTTGATGTGTTTTCTGGTGCAACACTGGGATTTTAGCTGCATAGAGAGGTGGCCATTTACTGCCTTTCATGAGTTTTCTGACCAAATCTCTTTGGGCATTCTTGCCCTCATTCACAGCAAGGTCTGCCACACCTGTTGCCCCATCAAACTCAGCATCCTGAAACACAGTTGCAGCTCTTCCAGCACTGATAGCACCTGATAGAAATAAGTCTGATACATTTTTCCTGAGTCTCTTGTCAGGCCTGTCAAAATCATTTCTCTCACTAACAAATTTACTTTTTGAAAACATTGCTAGGAAAACCTGGGGCCATAAACTGCAGCTGGGATTGTGCATTGTGCTTTCTCCTTGAAAGGTTCCCCATAATCTGCAAATTGCAATTTGAAAACATGTGGACACAAAAGTGTGAGTCATATGCTGGACAAACAAGCTTGCAGCAGAAGCATGGGTGGCACCTCCTCAGAGGAGATGTGGCAGCTCCAAACCTCAGCTGTTATTGAATGAGCAGCAGGAATGTGTTTCAGGGGCTGACACAAATTGCTGCTCAGTGCAGGAACTTTCTCTCAAGATCTTCTTGTTCATCACCATCCTGGTCAGTGACTGCCTGAGTTTGGCTCTTCTCCATGTTCTTTGTGTCTAGAGGTGGAACCATCACTTGAGAATCTTCTCCTTCCAGTAGTTGCCAATCCTTGTACTGGTCGAAGTTCTCTGCCAATTCCATGCCCTTGACATATTCAAGCCTTCGCCTCTTGGCATCCATGGTTCAGGGCAATTGCACAAAGTAATGGCAGAGAGGGCAGGTGGCTTGAACCTAATATGCTTCAACAAAGTTAAAGGCTGCAAGTCTTCTGTTAGCAGTGTCCAGTCAGAAACAAAAAAGGAATATGCTGATGAGTGGTCTTTCCAGGGAAAACAAGAACACAGGCAATGACAGGCAGCTTTTTTCAGCTTGTGCTCACCAGCTCTGCAGCTTCACTTCTAAGTTCCAAAATTGCTACATCCTTCTCTGCACCCTGAATCCTATATATCTGTATATGTATGTATATTGGAATATATATATATATATATTTATGTATTTGTTTCCTATATACTATATATGTTAAACTTTAGTTCAACTCCATGCATATGTGTTGGAGTATTGCTAAAACACATGTATAGTCAGAGTTTAGAGGAGGATTTCTCCTGAGAGGAGCTTAGCCTTCAAGGAGAGCCTGGATTCTCCTTTTCAAAGCTTTCAGCCCATCTAGGTGCTGACTTCCTTTTTCCTTCC